TTTTGGCCACTTCCAACACGATTCCGATAAATCGACGGTTTCAATTACGATTTTCGGTGATACATGTATATTTAAAAAAAAATAAAAATCTGGTTCTAAAGTTATGTATTTCTTTTCAAAATATTAATGTGAATTAAAAAAATATTGATAAATTATATTTTAAATAACTTTTAGAATCTTATAATCATATAAAAATAAAATTAATTAATTTTATAATGATTCAAACAATGTAATTTTGAGCTAATTAAAAAATTTAAAAGGAAAAAAATATTAAATTGACTCCTATTTGTATCAAATAATATAATTTTAAACTAAATATTTTACTTTTTTACCTTTTTATTTTTTTAGATTTTTAACTTTTAAGTATAGTTTATTTTCAAAAAAAAAAAATTAAGTAAATTGTATCATCAAGTAAAAGATTATTTAGACTTTTAAAGGTGTAAAAATTATGTTAAATGATTATAGTTTTGAAAATAAAATAAAAAATTTCTTGTTCAAAACCGAACCGGAACCACCAAGTCCAAGATGGTTCAAGTTTAGATTTTAACATTCATATGAATCTTAACCGGCTTTTAAATTGTCAGTTTCAATTTAAAACTTTAAATGTACAATTCTGGTTCGATTTTGATTCATCTACAATATAGTTTGATTTCAATTCAATTCTAGTTCGAATCAAACCGGCCGCCATGCCCAGTGTAATAATGCAAATTTCTATGTAGTGGACTTGACCCATATCAAAATGATCAAACATGTATATTTTCCACTCTGAAACGAGGTCAAAATCAAACTTTATTACGTCATATAGGTAATTACAACCATATGATCTAGCTTTAATAGCTGCTAACACAAGGATGCAAATTGTCTTATTACAATTAAAAAAGAGAGAGAGAGAGAGAGAGAGAAATGAGGAGGGAATCTGAAGTATCAACTAAAATAGGCAAGGAATGAGAAGTCAGTCCATGCTTACAATTTTATGTAATAACCCACAAGAAACTAACAAATTTTCTCCTCTACATTTTGATCATTTTCATATATATGGTTCTTAAATTATTACTCATTAAGAATTTCATTCCATCCATCAGAAATCATCAATTCTGGAGTTGGTATAAAAGAGGCGGGTGATTCACTAGGAGTGAACTCCCCGCTGTTGATCATCGGTTGCCCTCGAATCATATCTGCCTCTCCGTTTTCATTCATCATTACCATACTACAAGGAATTGTTCGAGCGAAGAACTCTCTATTTCTTTTTAGATGTCTGTTAATTACAAACATAAAATTAGAATATCATTTTATTATTTTCAATGTCGTTAGTTGCTTGCAAATTATAATAACAATACTAGACCACTAAGCTATTAGTCGAGGATATTTATCAACAATATTATCAATCTATATATAACCAACTGGGAGGTTTCGAGTTATGTGAGAAATGAGAGATTTCGAGTATGATTTCTTCACAACAGAAGTTTTCACCGATTTTACGATTCAAATGTTATTTCAACCTATTGAGTCTCCCAATGAATAAAAAAAATAAACTATATTATTCTTACTTATCAAATACCACCCATGTGGGATGGAAAGCTGTAAGTTTTTCAACCACCATCAATCTCAAGGGAAATCCCATTACAACTACTTTGTGCAGCACAACCTGCATAATGTGCACAAAATTGTAAACTACTTGTCGTTTTCAAGAAAAAGATGTTGGTGTAAAATCTATAATAAAAGAATAGTAGAAAAAGGATAAGAAAGTGAAGCACATACATCAAATGTTTTGCAAAGGTCTACTACTTGTTGAAGCTTTAAATATTTGGAGTTCATCCTTAAATCATAGCCCAAGATTTCTTGCGCCACACGCAATTCTTCTAACGTCACAGCCCAAACTTCCGGAGTCATTGAGGATACTAAAGACCAAATATACATATATTACTACGTCACCAACTGAAATTTAACGTTAAATGGAAAAAATTAAGATATAAAAAAATAAGGTTATCCCGTACCCTTGAATTTTATTTTATTTTATTTTATCTTATTTTTTAAAGCTGAATTTTGATTACTTTGTTTCCCACATTGGTATTCTTTTTATGACAAAAATAAGATTTATAAGAAGTTACTTTTTTGAAGGTTATAAGGAATTACTTAGATGGTTATTATTTATTTATTTATTTATTTGCTGCAGAAATTATGAAAAAGTTCTCAATACAAAAATAATAAAATTGGAAGTAGATGTAAGAAAATAAATGAAATTGTATATGGAGACTCACATGGAATATTAAGCCAAGGCATGATTCCAAGGAGAGTGACAACCCCACCAGCAGCCATAATATTCTCAAGAGCCCATCTTAATGGCTCAATGGTGAACTCTCTAAGTGCATCCATAACTATTACTACATGTGGAGCAGAGCCAGGAGATGGTTGCACTAAAAGAGCATCTTTTAGTGATTTCTGACTGCTTCTAAAAGCCCTTGTTATTGCCTGGAAACTGCCTTCTCTTCTTTTCACTGAAACAACCATTTTCTCAAAAACAATTTCTTTTCATATAGCAAAAGCTAATTGAAGTTGGAGGGGAAGGATTAGTTTAGCCTCTTGTGCTCCTTTTATAATTATACAAGCAGATGATACCTAAGATTTTACCTTGTCCTTTTTAATTAGTGCTTGACATAAACTAAGCTAGCTATTGGATTTAAGCTATCAGAATTCAGAATCATCCCAAAAGGTTGATATAACTATGCAACTCCTACGATGCTTATCTTTGAAGTTTAACATGAAATAACCTAGACAAATTGTTTGTCCCATGCTAGACTGTATATCAATTATCATCAACCAACGTAGTTCCGTTTGGCATTATTAGAGTTAAAGAAACTACATTCACCTTAAGGCTCCGTTTATTTCCATAAAATAACTTGCTGAAAAATATTTTTATGGAAAACAATATTTTCTTTGAAAATATTTTCCAAATGACTTATTTTCCGTTGTTTGGAGTCTTTATCTCGTAAGACCATAAAAAATATTAATAATAATAGAAATTTTATAATTTAAAAATTTTTTGTTAAATATGAAAAGAATGCAAAAAAAATCCTCTCCAAAAATACACATTTCCTCTTTTCTATATATGCATAAGCTCAATTAGAGTCTGCCCGCAGGGGAAGGATAAAGTTTAGCTATGTGTCCTATATTACTAATAGACAAGTCAGATAGATACCTAAGATTACCTTGTCCTTTAATTATGATGCTTGACATAAAACTAAGGGGTAGCTATTGGTGATGTGGGTAAGACGTTATCAGAGATTCAGAATACCACCAAAAGGGTTAGTAGTAACTAGTGCAACTTCTACGATGTTATCTTTTGAAGTTGTACATGAATACTAACCTAGACAAGAATTGTTTGTCCCATGCTAGGATTGTATATCATATTATGCATGCAACTTCACCCCGCTTTAGTCCGCCATTTCTCGGGCATTATCTAGTGAGTTAAAAGAAAACTTCTACCGGAATATCACTCTTAAGGCTCTCGTTTATTCCACTCTAAGAATAACTTTGCTGGAGGAAAATATTTGTTATTGGAAAACCAATATTTTTCTTTTGAAAAATATTTTCCCCAATGACTTATTTCCGCTGTTCCTTGGGGCCAGTCTTTATTCGTAAGACCATTAAAAATATAATAATAATAAGAAATTTTATTAATTTTAAAAATTTTTTCGTTAAATATTGAATAAAGAATGCAAAAAAACAAATACTAAATTTCTGAAAACCACCGGTGGTGGTGGCTGCGCGTGTACCGCGTAAATATTAATAATAATAGAAATTTTATAATTTAAAAATTTTTTGTTAAATATGAAAAGAATGCAAAAAAAAATATAAATTATGAAAACCACCGGTGGTGGTGGCTGCCGGTGACCGGTGGTAAATGGTGACTAGTGGTAGTGACTATGATGATTAATAGATTAAAAAATGTGGATTTATAAGGTTTGCCAATATACAGAAAATATTTTACTCTCTCGAAAATGGAAAGTTGTTTTCCTTAAAAAATAACTTAATTTTCATTTGACCAGGAAATATTTTTCGTTGACTTATTTTCCTGAACACCCCAAACAACGGAAAATTGTGGAAAATATTCTCCTGCAAGTTATTTTACGAAAACAAACGGAGTCTAATTATTAGCAAATTTTAATTTCATCTAATTCATTAAAGCGCGGTTTGATTGTCAAAATCTCACAAAAAAAAAGTAAGTTGAAAAGGTTGAATCCCGATGTTTGGTGATACTTTTTCTGAAAAATTAAAATTCTGAGCTTAACCACAAAACTTTAAAATTTAATAAAATTAGATTCCTTCATAAAAAATTTCGGATCAAACCAACTCACTGATACTCGCTCCTGGATACAATTAGGGGCGTGAAAATAGATCATGATACAAAAACACGATTCACCTAACACATACGGAAATTAAACAAAGTTAGGTTGAGCCTAAGTGTGTTCTCATAAATGGGTCACCCATGTGCTACACGAGTTTAAACAAGTTATTTCACAGGTTAGCTCATCTAATCAAATTAATCCGTTTGTTTAAGAATAAAACATAATTTTATATATACGTGAATTAGATTATGCTCATTATACATGTTATACATGTTAATATGCCTTGTTCATAATCCGTATACAATCCATTTAATTAAATTTTATTGAATCACTTATTTCATTTTTGCATCGTGTTTACATTAACACTAATTATATCACATATTAGGCAAATTCGTGACAAACACGACACAGCAACTCATTTTGACGCCCTGGATAAATTGCTTATCCTTACTTGGTGTCTTGTTTGAGCCGTATCGCGTCGAGTTAGACAGAAAAAAGACGGGAAGAGGGGTGGAGGTTACAACCATGCATAGAAATTATTCAATCGGGAAGAGGAGCGGAGGTCACAACCATGCATAGAAATTATTCAATGATTATTTATTTTCCTTCAATACAATATAACAAAATCTATAAAGCATCAATACTTTAAAATTCAAATCCTTCGTTTCATGATTATAAAACTAAAGTAAACGTTTTGCAATATAAAGCATTAATCAATTAAGAACTGAATTTAACACCTAAATTCTTATATTCCCAATAAAAGCTGATTCATAAAATCCTCCCATATACTTTCTTTCAGTGCAGTCGGTCCTTAAGCCACATTCCTGTACAACTTAAGAGAGCAACTGAAAGCACTTCCCTATTCTGATTCCAAAATCAGTGTTTCCAAATAGTCTAGTGAAAACCTAAATTTGACTTTACATATACCAAAACTGTAACTCTCAACGCAAAACTGCCAGACGCTGATTCGGTTTATGGCGAGAACTAGGAGGGCTAGCCTGTTTACATGGCGATGATCTTAATCTTCTTTTCTTGTCATTTCGTGGAAGCATAGCAGCCATAAGTCTTATGCCCCTTGCACTAGGTACATTCTTACTAATGTATCTAATAGCTTCATGTCTCTGATCTCGGACACCCCTTTTTAATTTTTTACAGTTCTCCATATTCTCTAGATGTTCTCGCCTGGAATTCTCCACTTTTAGATGATCTCGACGGATATGATGCCTTGTTTCTGAAAAGTATCCATTCATATTACTTCACTTCTGTTGAATAACAGAGAATTAGAGAATCTGAAAGAATAAATTTACCTGGCAGCCCTCCAGAATTCATATCTACCGGAGATCTGGGTGGTGTCAATGGACCAAGGCCGTCCTTTCTTCCAATATTGTGAACTACCTGGCAGAGGTTATTTTCTTTAACAGGAGGTAAAGCACCTAATTTCTCACTGTGCAAAATTCCATCAACCCTAATGTCTTCTAGCTTCTCTCTCTTCAAGAGTCCATTATGCCAATCCCTAGCTCCTAGAGAAGCAGAAGCCTCCATCGGGATATCAGTCCTAGTCTCTTCTAACTTCTCACTCTTTGCAGTTCCATTAGACCAATCCACAACTCCGAGTGAAGCAGAAACGTCATTCATCGGGATATCACTATCATTCCTGGACTCATCAGAACATATCTGTGGACCACTCTGTCCAGTTCCATTAGAAATCATGGCAGAAACCCCCTCAGCATCATTCCCTGTTTCATTCATTTGAGCCTCTACAACTGCTGTAGTCATTGAGAAGTGGGTTGAAGTCCTCACAACATCACTTGTAGTTCCATGGTCTTTGCAATGATCAACATTCTCTAAATTATGATACAAACTGCATTCAGTTTCCATTCTATCTAGAACTGACTTGGGTGAGGTATTTGAAATGATAGGATCCAGACTTTCTATCAAACTGGAAAACCAAGGTGTGCCCTCTCTGGCATAAAACAGAATGTAGGCAGTTTGAGATAGCACGATCTCCTCATCAACCTTAACAACCTGCAAAGTATGACATTATTCTAGATTTTTAAATGTAAGCATGCATGAAATCTGAATAACCATTTTCATCCCAGAAATAAGACAAACGCACAGAAAGAAACTAACAATCTCATCTGGACATAGTTTCTCAGCAGTTGCAAAATTTTGTTTGGGAATTTGCCAAAACCAAAATCAAGGGTTGGAAGAAAGGGAAAGAGAAGCATCAAAATCTAGGGCAAGATGATTGCAAAATCCATTAACATGAATGTTCAAGTATTTGAATGTGTTGCAGAAAATCTCAGTTCAAAAGAGGAACATACATTAATGTGGCAGAAATTAATTTTAAAAATCTGTCAAAAGCTAAAAAGCATAACAGATGATATTATCAAAACACTTAAACTTTCATCTCATCCATTTTGTCGTTTCTAGCTGCACATAGGTGGGTAGATAATTCAACTAAGCGTTGACCCCAAATAGTTCTAGCAAAAGATTAGTTCCTAAAAGCAAAACAAATTACAATCATTATCTAAAAGAGATTAGGCCTGGCTGGTATTACCATTGAGTCATCCAACTTGTGCCATGTGTCAGGAGAGGACCGTACATATGAGAAGTAATGCCCAGAAGTGGGTAAAAATCCATTATGCACCACAATTGCATACAGTTGATACTTTAAATCCACCTGTGTTAATGAGAATGAAGGAGGATTTAGCAAAAGCTCACTAATTAAGAAAAACCGAAGCTCACTACCATTTACAAGACTGTTAATGAGAAGGAGAGGATTTAGCAAAAGCTCACTAATTAAGAAAACCAAAGCCCACTAGCAAGGTCAAGTTAGTCTCATCTTCAAAATTCTCCTTACAAACTAATATCACATGCACCAACATGACAAAGAGATTGATTGAATGCCTATTATAGCAATGGAATAAAACCATAAATTGCAAATTTACAGAAAGCATGCCTATTTACTCACTAGTCAAGTTGATTAGCTTTAGCCCATTGATCATAGTTTCCCAAAAATTACAGTAATTTAACAATAACCTGATTCACATTACTGTCTTCACTGCCATTGGTGTAGGGTTTCAAGTCCAACTCTAATGGAAAATCCACATGCTTGTTAATCTTTGCAATGGAGGATCCATCTGTCTTAAATCTCTTTAAGTGAAAAGTGGCAACTGAAGGAGCTCTGTCCAGCATAAGTTGCTTTTCCCTAGATACTTCCTCCCTACATTTGTCACATGTAAACTTCGTATCCAGATTTTCAATTTTTTCCACCTTCGTGAAAGATTCTAGAGCATTTTGTAGAGTTTCCACATCTTCAATCTCCAAACTCAAGTCAATCAAGGGTTCGTATTTATCGGAACAGTCACCACAGTTGCAACATTTCAGCTGACAATCAACAACGAATTTTAAAAGCAAATTAATACCAAAAACAAAAACACACTTGAAGAGCATTAAATGTAGGCAAATAAATTAATTAAAAAAACAAAACTGTTCTATCAGCAGCTATATAGCAAGTAAAGATAGTTATCAACTCGTACTTTGCTTATAAGGCGACCTCCAAACACCCGCTCCACTATATTATCGTCTTGGGGATATGAGATCTCATCATTCAGACAACATCTTTCAAGTTTCTCTAATAAGCATTGAAGGAATTCATGAGCATCCTCTTGTTGATATCTTCGGAAACAAGATGAAATATCTAATTATTCATGGTCAAGAATCACGCTTAGTTCCTTCCAAACATCAAATTGAATTAAATAGGAAAAAAACCAAAAGAACAGAACACAAAAATAATAGCAGGGCCTCCTTTATGCTCAGTCATTCGCAAGAAACAAAAATAGAAAAAGGATACTATTCAAGTTATCAACAACTTCCAAAGGTGAAATAATCTTTCCTGAAGAAGCTAAAGAAAGCTTAATATGATCATGAAGAGCACAAACAACACAAAATCCTCCAGTACCACCTGCAAAATCCCAATCCTAAAACGTAACTTCAAAAAAAAAAAAAAAAAAAAAAAAAATCCAAAGGTAGAAATAATCTTTCCTGAAGAAGCTAAAAGAAAGCTTTAATATGATCATGAAAGAGCACAAACAACACAAAATCCTCCAGTACCAACCTGACCAAATCCCCATCCTAAAACGTAACTTCAAAAAAAAAAAAAAAAAAAAAAAAAAAACGAACTAATGCAATACAAAAAATAATTAAAAAAAAAAAAAAAAAAAAAAAAAAACAACTAAATGCAATACAAAAAATAATAATAATAACTGATGTGCAGGGCATACGCTGGCAAGGCCTCAAATGATTGCAGGACTGAAGAGCCTTAACAAGTGGAACAGTATGTGTAAAGCATTGCAAGATGGCATTAATAAAGCATGTGTTGCCAAGATTAGATAGCCCAGCACCCTACATAATCAAAACCAGAGAAATCAACAATCCAACAGGTAAATAACATTACATAGAGAAAAAACCTAAAAGAACAAATACACAAACATATCGACGAAATTTAAAATAAGATTTTTTTTCTATCCAAAAACTTACAACACCAGTAGCTACAGGTTCCGGCAAAGGAAGTGAAAAGGCTAAAGGCACATATTCCTTATCCTCTCTGTTTCCTCCGTTCCATGAATCAGCCCAAGGGCTGTGTCTTGAACGATACCATGGACTATACTGCCGTGAATAACAATTATATCGGCAATCACGGCCACACGGCCTGCACCTACAACCAAATCTGTGAAATTCACTACAGCCGCAATCATGAGGATTGTATGGCTGCTCACAAAATAATCCATTGTTCTCGTGATGCTGTTCATTATCACAAAAATCATCTTCTTCACAAAGCCCTAAACCTGATGAACTTGAAAGGTTTTTCTCGAATTCCATTTGTTCATTACAATCACCGCCATCATCATCGGGCAGGGTGTCTACTGGACGTTGATCGAGTGGTTCAGCAACCAAACACCGGTCATCAAGAGCTTCCAGCGATGAAGGTAGTGAGTGATCACTGCCATTAGGAGAAACCACAGAAGCATAATCTCTTGAATCAATATGTGAGTCAAGTATATAAGAAGACTCCGACATATTTGGATTTGATGATAAATCGTTCAAGAGAAACTGGTCGCGTATGGCTTCTGTTTGCAAAGAAGTTAAAGAAACCTCATCAGCCAAAATGGTTGAAACTGATGAAGTTGAATAGTCCACAGGTTCACCGTTTTCCGTATCACTGGATAGAGAAGACGAAGGCCCAAAAGGATTTGATGAGGAGACAACCAGAGATTTACCCTTTAGGGTTTCTGTCTTTGAAGATGGTAAAGACCCATCATTATTTTGACTTGGAACAGCCATTACAGGCGAAATTGAAGAAGACCCATATAAACTTTGGCTGTTTGGAGGCGAAGAAACAGAGATTGTTCCCATAAAGGATTGAGAGAGAGAGAGAGAGAGAGGAGGGTGAAGTTAAGAAAAGGAGAATGAGACGACTAAATGAGAAATTGGAACTTGAGATTTGGGAGTGAATATGGTAAGTTAAAATAAGTGAGATTTGATGATTTTAGGGTTTAGATTTGAGATTTGAGGAAAAGAGGGAAAATTGAAAAAGGGGGGGTTTTGGTAGTTTATTCGAGGGATTTTGAAAAGGGAGGGAAAACTGAACCGCCATTTGTTTTTTGGAAGTTTCCGAAGCAGACTAAAATGGTGGGCAGACAAATTGAAATGGAACGATTTTTGTTCCCTTTTTAACTCGCGGACTGCACAAAACGATAATAGGGAAAGCTACCTATCCTTGTGGTTTATGTTGGTGTATATTTTGCTTTTCTTTGTTTCAGTGAAAAAATTATTTATTTATAACGGAAAATATTGTACTAACTTTTATGAGAATTTTTTATTTAAACATAAGAAATTAGCTAGAATTTTTCTTTATTTTTTTAATTTGAATCAATAAGATATTTATTTCAATAATTATGACAATGAAAATATATAAAAAATAATTATTGTTTTCTACCATTTCTTAAAATTCATATTATTCAAAAGATATGTATTTATATTTAGCTTATCGTTATCTCTTTATTATTGTATCATTATCTCTTTATTGTTATAATTATCTATCCCATTTCATATATATAATGATATATATATATATATATATAATATATATATATATAATATATATATATATATATATATAATATATATATATATAATATTATCTATTATTATATATAAAAGTGGGAATGGAAAGAAAAATAAAGATATTTTTTATATTGTCTTTAAAAGATTTAAGATGCTGCTAGAAATAATCTTAGTAATAGCCAATTAAAAAATTTTAGCATAAAAATATATATACATTCTTTAAATTTGATTCCGATGTTTTTCTAATAGATTACAATACGTATAGGATAATTAAAGCCATTTGAAATTTAAAAATTTTACGATCATTATCTTATTATAATGTAATTATGTTATATTCATTATATTATTATATAAATTATTAATAATAACTTAATAATTTTTTTATATTTATTATTTATTTAATTTAACTTTATTGTTATTTATCTTTAAACTTATTTTATTTTAAAATGAATATTGTTAAATGTAGAGGCATTTGAAAATGTTTATTTTTTTTTTGAATCTTATTTTAAATAAATATAATCTAATAATTAAGATTTTGATTTAAAAGGGTATAGTTAGATTCTTAATTACATTGCACTCTAATTGGGTTAGTCAAAAAATTAAATTAAAAAATATTTATTTTTAAACATCTCAAATTTGATTAATTATATTTAATATTCTTACTTGATCAAAGCCTTATTCTTTCTTATTAAGGAATATAATTTTGTTCATAAATTTTTTAAATGATTTCATGATTTTGATTGGCCCTAAAAAAAATAAAATAAAAATTATTTATTATTTTATAAATATTTAATTTAATTTATTAGTTTAGTTTATTATTCTATGTCTTTATAGTATATTTAAAGAGAGAATAAATTAGATCAAAATTTTTTCCAATGAAATGTACAGTGCTCATGACATATAATTAACAAAAATATTACCTATATATATTAAAAATCACTATATTGTATTACCCAATCTAAATTAAGAATTTTATATTAATTATATAAAGAATTTATATTTTAATTATATAAATAATAAAAGTTAAATGAGTAAAAAAAATGGGTATACAACGAAATCAATATGTATCGCACGTCATAAAAAGAACTAATGCTATATAAATGTTGGAATATAAGGAATAATGAGATTTCTGATAGTGCTCTTAATGAAATTAGAATATTCGAAAATAACCTTAGTTATAGCCAATTAACAAATTACTTATTAGTTGATTGGATATAATTTATAAAATTATTTTTTAAATAAATACATATAGATAATTAAGAATTTCAAGATTTTAAGTTTTATCTTTTCAAAATTTTATTTTTTAATAAATATATATGATAACGAGAGATTTAAAAATTTTTATATTTTATTTTCCAATATTTGATTCTATTTTGATTATAATTTAAAATATTTTATTTAGAAGTGAGATAAAAAAAGAAAAAAGAAAATTGTTCTTATTAATATTCTTTTTTCTTTATGTTTGTATGATTTGATTAGATATATTTTTTAAAAAATAAATTTCTAAATGGAATATATATAATATTTTATTTAGGAGAGAGATAAAAAAGAAAAAATATATTCTTTTTTTGTACGGTTTTATGAAAATTTTAGGGTTTATTTGGAAAGGATTGAACATTTCTTTTATGTAAATATTTTTTTATTAATTAATTAACTTATTTATTTATTTTAAATTTACAACTTAGAACAATACATAACAAAATACTTGAATAAACTCATTAAATGACCAATATTGGATCCTAGTGGCCTCTCTTGATGATTAAACATTTTTTATTGTCTTAAGATTTTTTCTTTAATATATCATAAATCTATTTGACTTGAAAGAAACAGTGTTTGTGAAACTAGAAAAAAACTATAATTATATATTTCTATTTTGGGTTACTTTTTAGGTTTCAAGAATTTATGCTCATATATTCCTTTCTCTAATGTAAGGGTAACTAATACTGTCAATATAATCAAAATGATTATCATTATCAATTCAGATCCTTTTTTCAGTTCTTTTCTTCTATCTAGCAGTGAAAAATAAATTATTATTATTTTTCATTATAGTATATATAGATATTGATTTGGGATTGAGGACAGAGGTTTGAGCATTGAGTGATGAGTTTATTTTCTTTCTGGGCCCTATCAAAGTTTTACAGTCCGTTTGAAACAAATGAATCGTGGTTGTAGAATTCATTTGTAAATGAATTCCTAGTAAAATTCATTTGTAAATGAATTCCAAGTATAATTCATTTGCAAATAAATTTGTCATGTTTGATATGCTATAATTTAAAATAAGAAAATTCCAAGTATAATTCATTTGCAAATAAATTTGTCATGTTTGATATGCTATAATTTAAAATAAGAAATTCAATTAAATTCCACAAAATTATAGTTGGAATAAATTTTTAAATGAAAGTTCATTTGTCTATATTTCTTATAACACCCTTGACATAATAATTTAATTAAAATAAATAACAAACACCAATTATATTTATTATGTACAATATAATAACTTGTCATTTTTTTTATTAGAATATAAATAATAAATTTCTTATGTCTTAATATTAGCTTTTGGTTATGCCAACGATGGGCTAAAATTGCAAGGAGGGATAAGGGCACCATTATGATGGGTTGTTTTGTAACACGCATTGCTTCTTATCTGAAAGCATGGAACCCCGTGTGGCCCGTGTATGATATTGTGGGGAGTGGTAAGGGCACTAGAATTGATATCGATGTCATGCACCACACGAAGATAGTATATAAACTAGGGGACACGTTTCGTCTAGTGAGACGTGAAGTTGGGGAAGATGATGAGAGTGATAATGAGGAGGGAGATGACACTAACATGGAGGAGGATAATTCGCATACCTCTCTTGGTTTTGGTACTTTTTCTGGTGCAGGTATAGTTGAAGCTGGTTCGTCATTTCAGTTGGCGTTTGACATGTCCAATGAAGAGGTTCTCACACGCATGATTCCTAGGATGGACATGCTTGATGCTCACTTTCAGGGGATAGAAACCATGATTTCTGATCGGTTCCGATCCATAGAGCTTATGCATGGGAGTTTAGAGTCTCCCACATCCACCCCCACCACCTACGGAGTGATTGTTTTTAGTTTTTCATTATTTATTTTATGTTTTGAATTTGTGTTACCTTTGATTGTTATTTTTATTTCGAACCTTGTTCTTGTTTATTTTCAGTATTTTGGATATTGTTCGTTTCTTTTGCTTTATTTTGTCTTATTCATAGCTCCTGAAATTTCCAGCGCACCCAGCTCATATCGAATCTTTTCCTAGATTTTTATTGTATTTTCCAATACAATAATGGTAACAATTTCTCAACTCTAATATTACTTTTCAACCTTGATGATAATCTTGATAAGTTTGGGGAATTGGTTTTCTTTTTAGGCACATTGGGAACAATGTGCTAGGTTAAGTTGGGGAAAGAAAAATTTTAATTAAAATTTTAGTTTTACTTGTTTCGTTAGTTTAATATGATTGGAATAATTGTGAGCAAATTTAAAATTTTCATAATTCAATAACTTGTGATAAATTTAGTGTTTTTCTAATCTAGTGATTTTCTTGCTTAAATTTTAGTTTTTGCCTTAACATGATTTATTGATTTGACCATTTGTTTTTAAGATCATAAACACTGATTTTTGTGAATTTTTATGGCAAATAGGTATGTTTTAATTAAAATTTATTTAACTTGGTATTCGTAGAACAATATAGAATTTCCCTTGAAGCAAAATTTTTTAAAGATCACATTAGAAAGAGATGATTTAGCATTCTTTGTTGAACTTTATATTTTTAGCCCAGCCACCCTAAGTTGAATTATGACCTTTGCAACCAATTTGAAGCCCATAACAAAAATTTTCTTATTTAACCTCATTAAACCTAGCCATTAAACCAATTTAAAAATCCATACTCTAAGTGCAATAATATATAATTGAAGGGTTTAATTTTATCAAAACATAACAAGAGAATAAAAGGGAGAATATTTCATTAATACTGACAAGTGAAAATTATAAAAGTCAAGGAGAAAAACCCCATGAAAAAAGCAATTAATCAAGAATTCAAATTTGGAGATTTTGAAGCAAGGAAGAAATTATCAAAGTATTAAGGAGAAAAACCCCATGAAAAAAGCAATTAATCAAGAATTCAAATTTGGAGATTTTGAAGCAAGGAAGAAATTATCAAAGTATTATGAAGAGACCTTGCCAAAGTATCTCTAATTTTAAGCTAGTGAAGAACTTCAAGTTAACCTCTCTTTACAAATAAAATATATGTTTTGGTATATAATTAAAATCTTGATATTATGTATTCTTTGTGCTTTTTGTTATCTTATTTTTTTTTCCTTGTTAAGCTAATTTTTAATTCTAAAACCCTATTATAACCTTATTCAAAGACCCATTGATTCTTCTAATTGTGTTGCATTTAAAATTATGTAGAGGGGATGACTAATTTTGCCTATGGGAATGTTTAAGTTTGTAATTAGCATCATCTTATTTTAAAGTTAATTATTTTTGTGAAATTCGTATTTTTATTTGTCATAATTTGAACACTCATCGGTGTTGAAGATCTTATTAACTTATGTTTGTATTAAGAAATATGTTTTTGTTCAGAATTGAATTTTGCAAGAAAATAATTAATATAGGAAACACTTGACCTATTCTCATTTTAATAAGTTTTGATATTTTTGAGATTGTGAATAATAATCCCCAACCATATTAAGCTAGCTTTGTTAGTTTGTCTAGTTTGTGTTTTCCTTTTGTTTTTAGTTTTGTTGCTTGTGAACAAACAATTATTTAAGTTTGGGAAATTTTGATAGGTTTTATTTTTATAGTTATTTTTAGTAGATTTTATTTAAGTTTTCTTTAATTTGTTTTATTTTAGTTAATTTTACTTATGTTTTTTAATAAGACCTCCTTTAATCATATTTCACTTGATCTTGAGAAATTTTGTAAGATTTTTATAGAAAACCAGTTAAAAATGCAAAAAAGAGGATTTTTCCAAGGCTTCTAGCAAGGGCGTGCTACCCGGCACCCCCATGCTATTTTCAAGGCAAAATCAAATGAAGGTTAGATTGGGCGTGCTACCAAGCACCCTCGTACTAATCTGCAGAATTCACTTTGGGCCAAAACTTCCAGCTTTAGCCTGTGTTGCATGCATGAATCTGTATGAGAATCTATAGGACGTGTCTAATCAAACTTAATCCTATTTAGAGGCTGGGACAGTCCTAATTGAGAAGAAATACAAAGCCTCAACAGTTTTCTATTTTTAAATGATTTCTTCATTGATAAAAAATTCTGTTCCCTAAATGAATTCAAAGATCTTCCAAAGGAGCTTATATAAAAAGAGAGACTAGTTAGATTATGGATTATCTTTTGTTTTATTTTTCTCTAATCGATTCAGTTTCTCTCTCTTTAAGATTTCAAGTATTCAAGTTGTTGTCAAGATTCAAGGAAGTCGCTCAAGCCAATCGTTGACTAGTTTTTATTTCTAAACTCTCTTCTTATTTATTATTCATTATGGGATTATTTACAAGTTTAATTGAGTTTGAAGTTTGATTTATTTACTATGTCGTCAAGCCAATCGTTGACTAGTTTTTATTTCTAAACTCTCTTCTTATTTATTATTCATTATGGGATTATTTACAAGTTTAATTGAGTTTGATTTATTTACTATGTCAAACTAATTTTTTTTTACTAGGGATATGATGTAGCTTAAATTCAATTCCAATTTAAAATATTAGATTTAATTTTCTTTATTCAAGTAAAATTTGTTATTGATCTTAATACTTCCAGGCAGAGTTTCTCTCCTGGATTAATTTATTTCACTAATCACTATTGAGAGAAGAGTTTTTGATATGAATAGGATAATAAATTTCATGGGAATAACAACTTGATGCAAAAGCTATATGGTTTGACTCCCTGGAGGTTTTCATAAAATTAAAGGACTTAATTTGTGGATTCCTGAATAATCATAGAACTTAATGATTTAATCTATATTTGATTGCGCCATTGAGAGATGGGTAAATTGAATTGAGTCCAAATAGCTAATAAAACATCGAGAGAGCTTATTAGCGATTTTAGGATTATTGCTCCTTCTTGAATAATTAAAATTGTTTATCAAACTAATAGGATAAATTGGATAGTTATTAAGTGAAGTCAAAATTCCTAGTATTTTTTAAACCTTGAATTCTTTTCAACAATTTCTTGCTTGATCTCATTCTGATTGTTTTACTTTAATTCTTTTATTTTCAGATATCCTCTTTATTGTCCTTGAATAATAATAGGTTAACATAATTTTGATAATTGGTATAAAATCTTTGGAACGATACTCTACTCACTTTTATTACTTGTTTGCAATTTCTTACACTTGCGAAAAAGCCTGTCAAATGTGTTGAGCAGTAGAGTAGTTGTACTAGAAAATGACAACATGTAGTCTATAATTTATTTTTTCTAAAGATAGCACGAAAAAAAAAAAAGAAAATTAACAAAACAATGCACCACAATGGAGCAGCATCATAGGAGATTGAAGAGGCTTTATATAAAATTTGCGCAGGAGTTGTGGAACACCTATTGTTCTATTAATAATGTAAGAATTGTAAAGATAATGTAAACGTGAGATTCCCTGCATCCCTACACGATTCTAAAAACCTTTGTTTCTGAATGATCCTCAAACTTTTTAATTTCATAGATTGATACACTCATTGTGGAATAATATTATAAATATATTCCTCTATCACCTTGCATGGAAATCTTGACCTTACCTCGTAGGAATCTGAATCTCGACCTTGCCTTGCGTGCATGGGAATCTCGAAAATGGAGAGAATATATTTTGACATCATTTCACTTATAATATAACATTTAACAAGGAGAGAGAAGAGAGAGTATCTATACAGTAAAGTTGCTGGATAGAATAAAAATAAATAAAACTTATTGCTTTTGTTGCAGTCATAGCGTAACAATGCATTTGTTAAACTATGACTATAACAAATGCCTTTGAAATGTCAACAAAACGCCATTTTCGTAAATACTTTTGAAGGAACACAATTTATGTAAACAAATGCCTTTGAAATGTTAACAAAACACTATTTCTATAAATACTTTTGAAGGAACACCATTTATGTAAATTCTTTTTTTCAAAACACCATGTTCTAGTAGAATCGGTTGTTTGCGAATAAGATGTTTGTTGAAGGAAGTGAATCGCTAACCATTGCCAATTAAAAAGCCCAAGAAAGGGAGTACTGTCTCTAGCTCCTTTTGGAGAATTCTAAGGCAATCACACATCTTCGTTCAAATATATAAAGTACGCAAAACAAATTAAAAAGTAAAGGAAAAAGAGAGAATAGGAGGGTTTATAGATTTAATTCACAACTAAAGTTTAGTAATCGGGTCTGTCTGCTTATCCTGTTGAATAGGAATCAAAACCAAGAAGTTCTTTCCATTGTGAAATGGGGGTTGATGGAGTGTTGTTGGAAAAGTATGTTTTAGTTCATTAAATTGCAGATTTGGCTTTAGTTGCCACAAAGAAACAATGTCATTTGTTTGAAAAAGTGGCTTGAGTCGCTAGTTTGACTGAAAAATGGTTTTAGTCGCCAGTTTTGATTGAAAAAATAAGTTTAATCACAAATTTGATTGAAAAAGTGAATTCAATCATCAAAAGTTTGAGAATTTTTTTTGATTTTAAGTTAGAAAAAGTGACTTTAATCGGCAAAAAAGAGGCTTTAGTCATAAAGTTTAAGAAAATGTGGCTTTAGTCGTCATATTTAAGTTGAAAAATCATTTAACTTTAATCACTAAAAGTTTAAGACAAGAGTTAAGAAAAGAGGTAGGAGCAAGCAACATGCAAGGCAAAAAGCAGAGTCACAACCTGCAAAGCAACAAGCAAATCCAATCCCTTAAAGTCTCAACATTCAAGTGATATCAAAAGGTAAGAATCTTACTTTGAAAGCATTCATAGCAAGGAACTAATATCTGTAAGCAAGCGTGAAATTGTAAAAGTGTATTTCAAAAACCAAGGCATAGATTAAGTGGTATCAAGTTTTTTAATATTTAATGAACACATGAACTTAAAAATAGAGATATTCTAAATTTATGAAGCCTCTAGTTCTAAAGATATTCTCGCAAAGAATAATTGTTATTGAACAAAGCTGAAATAATTGTGATGAGCAATAAAAGGACACCGCTTTTGATCTGTAAAACAGTGATTTTTAACAAAATTAAGTTATATTGGATTAAGTTTAACCCAATTTGTAACTGTTTTCCATTTTCAATTTCATCCTTAATTTGAATTAAAAATATTGTTGCTACAAAAGATCCAAATTTTAATAAGATTGACAAAATTCCAAATAGCTTGAAATTGGAAAAGCATGAAAAGCTAAAATATTCTCTTTGTTTAGAAAGACTGTTAAATAAGTTCTCAAAGTGATTAAAAATGATAAATTGAGAACTTAAAAGCAAAAATGGATAAAAATCAAGGGCTCCAGAATGTTTTACCACCAACTCGATTTGCACAAAGATGAAGCAAACCTGTGACTTTAGATAAGCAAAAACCAAAAACTAAAAGTAGAGATGACACCAAACAATCCCTTTCCTAAGTTGTCTCCATAATTGGCTCACTTTCAATAGGCATTGTTCATTGCAATTCCTACATCTCTGAATACACTGCAAGGGACTCTTCTGGCTTACAAGCTGAAATATAGTTACCAACTGAAATGACTAAACACAATGAAATCTCAAAACCTGTACTACAAAATAATAACACCTTGAAAATGTCCTTGTTTTTATTTGTATCCTGAAAGAATTTTTTATAATGAACTCATTTTACATTCCACTACACAAATATTGGCTGGTAATATGTCAAGCTCCTCTGATATTTTTCATCATTATCACAGGATTCGATCTTGAAGATCAGTTATTAAGGTGGATGCCAAGGAACTGAGTTTCTTCCCAGTCTCTCCTGCAATATTCTTCAGGGAAGAAATATCCTGTTGTGCCTGAAAAAAGATAAAACAAAAGATAAACCATTATTTCTTCGGGTATCAAGTATTGACAAGGGGATGAATAAAGAAAGTACTTTCAAGCTTCAAAACTTGTTTGAAATTGACGTTGAAACTGCATTTCCTGCGATTTTAGATGCTATTGGAGAAAACAATTTGACAGTGTCGATTAACTCTTTTGAAACACCAATGACCAAAATAGACAATTTATCTTGAAAACAAATTCTAATGACCTATAATCAACATTTTCACTCCTTATCAATAAAACCTCGTATATTTTGCAAGCACCAAAGATTGAGAAGCATACCTGGAATGATATCCGGTTTATCAGGTCACTTGCAGCAAGATCAATGGAGGAGTGATCATTGCCTTGACCAAAAAGATCAGCACTGGAGATGGCTGTTGAACCCTGGAATAGCACAGATCACAAACTTGCCTTAAAAAGCAAAATTCAGAATACAAAGGAACTGTATGGTTTCTGTGCCAATATTTCAAGATAAAAGGAGAGAACTGATAGAGACACCTATTACAAGTAAACAACTGCTTTGTCATTGGATATTATAGGAATCTGAAAGTGGTCACCTAGTTTTTCTATGTCGTTCCATTTCGTCTGAATTCTGAAATGGCTCCTTTTAGCTAGATTGGAACTGGAATAATAATGAATAATAAAAAACACGAGGAAAGGTGACTTGATCTTCATTTGGATAGCCCAAAAAAGGAGGGGTGGGGGTGGGGGGTGGTGGTGGGGGGAACTCAACTCATTTGCCTATTCTCGATAATCGTCCCACAAATTAAATAAAGGGGAAAGGGTGTTTACGAGTTCCGTTCATCAATGTTTTTCCCAAAGAAGCTCAAGAAAATTAATTAATTAACAAAAAAAATGAATATTAAAAGCAATCAATCAAAAAGACATTAAAGTTGATAGAAAGGAACATACTGAAAATTTCTGCAAGGAAGCTTGAGTATCAACATCAGTAGCTTTGCTCTGATCACCAAAGAATTGAGCTGATGAGATTGATTTTGCATTTGAGAACTTCTTCCTTGCTTCATCTGTTTCTTGAATCTGATAATACTAGGATGTAAGAACAATATATTACAGGAAAAACATCTGGCACCCCATAATTAAATACCATGTGACGTGGACATTCACAAAATCTAAACATTCTTATCATTACATAAATTTTCTTCAATGTCAGAAGTATAATAATTCAGCATGAGCATGAGAGAGTGATAAAAACACAACATTAAGCTGCAGTAGAGCAACATAAATACTACCTACATCAAGATCCTTTCTAATTGTGCTTGAGCCATAGAACATGCACGGATGCTTAAAGCAGATATCATTACAACAAGGCCGAGGATGTTTCTGCACAAATATTAATTATACTCTGAACAACCTTTCAATTTGGCTCCTAAGCTTTTCCTAAATGTCCAATTTGGTCCAACATTAACTCTTGCACCATTTCGGGGCATAAACTTTTGAGTTTAGAATCAATTTACCACATATTTAGCCAAAAAGGTTTTTACCTTAAATATAAAATATTTCAAAAATCAGAATTAAAAAAATAAGGCAAAAAATGTGAAAATTGAAAACTGTTCATTTCGATTCCCATTTTTCTTCTGCATATTCAACAAGATTGAATTTTCCTTCTTTTTTTCTGTTTTTATTTTTATTTTTTAATTTTCAAATATTTTGCATTATATTTTTCGTCAAGATGAAGAAAATTGGTCCCACTTAAAATTTCTGTTCAATATTGGACCAAATTGTACACCTAGAGAAAGTTCTGGGGCTAAATTGAGAATTTATCCTTATATTTTCTATAAAATAGAATATCTTAACAGAATCTTAAGCATACTGTTGAAGGAGCCTAAACTTTTTGAAATCAAATTTTAGAGGGCCATAAATAGTTTACCCGTACAAAATATGTAGGCATCTGTACAAATGATACACCGACCACACCAAAAAATGGTTCCTAGGCTGAACAATATAATAATATAATGTTGAGTCAATACAATCTAGGTGTAATATTTGTAAAGAACTTGACATTTAAGGGACAGTGGAGGTTTCCAAATATCCAATCAATTGAAAATGACCAACCAGGAACCAAACTATGAAAAGTAAATGCAACACTGATGCTGTTTCAAGTATTAAGAAAAACTTGCTATTCAGTTCACAGATTTCAGACAAACTTTCTACAACTTAGGACTCTTTCTCTATGTTTCATCTCTAGGCATACGTATTTTGTGGCAGGTCACATGAGGGTAGGAAGACCTTGATGATCGAAAATTTCAACGTGATGCTTAAATTTGAACATATGAAGAGATTTATTTTGGGTGAGTCAGTACAGCTCACCTTTGCCCATTGGGCATGTTGCTATATTTTGTATTTATGTGTAGCTGTATCATTTATCTCCCACTAATTACGTTTGTTGTTCTATTTCAGATTTACATATATCCCTCATACCTTTGAGTTTGCTTCATATTTATGTGAGTTTCCTATTTACAAATATCCCAATACTTCGTGTTTGCTTCATATTTATGTGGGTAGTGTTCTAGTTCCTTTTAAGCTTTTTATGTCCCTTGGATGAGTTTACAGTTATCTGCATTTTCATAAACCAAATAACCGAATGTAGCATTGCTGGTTCCCTAAAGTCTGGGTTGATTTCAGTGTGAAGAAATACCAACCCAAGCATAAATATTTCAGTACAAAAATAACATCCGTCCATGCATCCCATAGTAATTAAAGGCAAAAGGCGCACTAAGGCGCAAAGGGCTGTTGGAACCTAGGCGCTAGCCTCCAGGCGAACGCACATGCATGAGTGAAGTGAGGCGCAAAAAAAAAAGGAATAAAATACATAAATCTGAAAAATATATTTAAAGATATCAATAAAAAAATGAAAAAAAGTAGAAAACACGGAAAGAAACACACATAAATCAGAAAAAAATGGCAACATGACAAGTTATATTGTAAGATATTAAAGTTAAGACAAAAAAGAGTATAATCAAAAAAATGGAAAAAAAAGAAGAAAAGAAATAGAAAGCAAATATAGGAAGAAAAATTGAAAAAAAGATAAATCAAAAAATGGAAAAGAGTATAATCAAAAAAATGGAAAAAAAAGAAGAAAAGAAATAGAAAGCAAATATAGGAAGAAAAATTGAAAGAGTTATATCTGGATGGAATGGGGTTGAAGACTAGATTGCAAGAGCTTAGTGCTAGATGAAGGAGTGGAGGTTTGATCACAAAGCACATCACCGGTTTTTGTGTTGAATTTTATTTCTTTTATGTTTATTTATTTATTTTGTGTAAGCTGATGTTGGCTAGATAGCTTTATATTGAAAAAAACCCTAGGTGACTTGTTCTGGAAAACAAACAATAGAAAGGCGCGCCTTTCTCGAGCCTTAGGCGCAAAAAGGCGCACGCCTCTACCCAGAGGCAATAGCCTGAGTGAAGTCGCCCGCCTCATGACTATTGAGGCGCAAGCCCTTGAGCCTTAAGTAACGCGCACCTCAGGCACGCCTTTAACAACTATGATGCATCCCAACCTTAGATTCATTAATCTAAATTTTCATAGATGGTGCCTGCGCCAACCAATATAAATACTCATTAACATGCAACAATTTAAAACAAAAAAGAGTTGGTCTCGACTATGCATCGTGTTTCCACAAGACAATAGGCACCCAATTTTTGGACTTCTAGCTCACTCCTTTTCAAGGTAAAACAAATTATCCTCGAAGCCTGATTTAGCACAGCACATAGAGATTCTGCAGTATGGTGTATGGTGACCCTACCCAGCATTTTGACATAGCATCCATCCTACAGTATCTGTCTAAAATTCCAAACAGCGAAAACATTCTAATGGCTGGATATTGGCACGCATTTAGCACTCAATAAATGATAACTGTGTCAATCATGAGTTATTTGGATCCAGTATTAAATTAAGTTACCTGCACTTTTGAGGAGTTTGAGCTTGATTTCTTCTGAAATCCACTGTCCATTCCAAAATCTGCAAAGAAGCTTGAAGACTTCGGTGGAGAGACATGGCTAATCACTTGTGGCCCACCAGAAATAAGCTCAGTAGATTGGACATTATCAACATATTCAAAACGAGATGTGAAAGACGCTCCAGCTTTTGGAGTGCTGTTAGTGGAAGAAGGAACAGAAAGAACTGGTTCTTCAGGTTTCTGATCATAAAGATTTTCACTGGGCTGCAATCAATAAGGTACTTCGACTAAGAAGAGAGCTCATGACAACAGCCACGCAACAAGTAACAATCAGCTGAAAATGAACGTCAACTAAATGGACACATCTCAGTTAATTTTGTTTGCTTCACTTTGAAATTTAGAATTTTCTTTTGAATTTTACAACCAAATACTAATTACATGCTATAATCATGTATTTAGTTCCAAATACTAGATTGCAGTTTAGTTCTATCATCCGCAAAACGTCTAAAGATAGAGGGAAAAAACCCTTTTTGCAGATTTGCAATTGTAACAAACTGTTTAAATAAACCTACTAACATTAATTTGAAGAATTAGTTTCAGTTGTACAACTGGGGAGAGTTTTCCATTTCAATTTGGGTACAATTGAAACTAATTTTTCAAAGTAGGTTATAATAGACCAGTTAAAATAGTTTGGGGTTTTTTTTTGGTTACCAGACCTTTGAAATATCCCAAATATATGGATTATATTTCCTAATCAATTTAATATCATTGATTTATTCTTAATGAGGAGAATACACTCTTCTCATTTGGAGTTCTAACAAAATATCAAACATTACAACAAAAGAAAAAGAAGTGATGAGAAAAAAAATATATCATTATTTGTAGCTTGAATATGGTTTTCTTCTTTATCTTTGAAGGACCAAAAAACCTATATTCTTTGCCAAATCTAATACACCAATTCAGAAGCCAGAATAGAATAAACTGATCAAAATGAACAGGGGATTCAGTTAAGTTAAATTTGGTTTAGTTGATTAAAAATATAAATTCTAGTTATTTTTGTTTTGGAAGGTTTTAGACAGGTTAATTTAGATCTATATAACAATTAAAATGGAGATATAGTTGTGATAATTCTAACAATAAAATTCTCTTATGTGCAAACATCTACCTTTGTAGTCAGCTTTCTAGCACCAAGGCCACCTGTCTTCCCAGTTTTCCTTGCACCAAGAGGCTTCTTGACCGTACTGGTACTAACTGGATGAGTAGCTTTTGGAGAACGGACAACATCGGGCAAATCTTGCTTTCCAAGGGAAGTTTCTTTGGTAGTCTCATTGGTCTTGATATCAGGAAGTCCATTGGACACTTGGGCTGACTGAGGTGGAACATGCGATGATGACAAGCCTCCATCTTCCACCATGCTTTTGGCAACTTCTTTTGAAAGGATTTGCCGATACAATTCAGCAGCTCTAGATGTATACTTGGCCTCAACTTTTCCTCCATCAGTCCAACCATGCTGCTTGAAGAAAGCTTGTGCACGGTTGTTTCCCCCAAAGCTCATCATTTTCAATTGCTCAGGACTCCATGAGTCTAAATTTGTAGACCTACATGAATAGGATAATAAGTCCTTATGAATGCAATTGCTTTCAACAAGTTTACGTTATTTCATTTTTGATAAGTTTAAAAAATAGAAAAAGAATCAACAAAGCCACCACCAAAAGCATTCACGAAATTGTGCACAATGATAAAGTTTGTGGTGCTATTGGCAAGGGAAGACAAACTTCTCCTCTCCCTCAAGGCCCCATTTTCAACCCCAAGGAATCAAATGGAGAAAATTTTTTTTGGAGTTTTAGCTTGTGCAACTCTTGGAGTTATTTAAGTCTATGCAAAAATCTGCAAAGAGAATTAAAAGCCAAAAGGGGCCCTGATGGGATGCCAAAATGTAAGGAGCAAGGATGCATGGGATGATATCTTAAAGAATGATAGAAAAATGTGGAATTCGAAAGCTTTGGAGAATGTATTCATCCAGTTGGATGTTTAGAAAAAAAAAAAAAAAGTGGCTACATATTCTTCAACTGAGGATAATAGAAATTTTATTTGAGTTTATCATTTTGCTTCAGTAAATTTTTAATATATAAAGGAAAATTCAAAACATATACTCCAATGCTACATAGGCAGCATCCCTTGAAAATTTATTAAAAGATATTTACTTATTTTGAAAAATAAAAAAGGAATGAGGGTTCAGAATAGTGAATGATAGAGCCACTCTTGCTTTCTACTTGTATTCCAACCAACAACTCAAATGATAATAAGATTTCAGAAAGTAGGATTATTGGAATAACTTAATAGGTTGTGGGAAAGTAGGATCGCTAAATTGTGGGACATTGAGGTGGAAACTATAAATAGAAAGCAAATTATAAGCACTTGCAAAAGCATCATATTCTAAAATAATAAATGTTTGTTTCTACTTTGTTTGATGATTCCTATTACTATAGTCCATTTTCCTTCAAAAAAAAAAAAAGTTGGCAGGCATTAAAATACTTCAGGTAGAAAATGATATTGTATTTGCTTCCCAAAACAAAAAAACATGCCACTCTGTGATCTACAAAACCAAAGGTTGATGTTGAACCCCTATTTATTAAGTCTTGAAAGTTGATGATGATTTTCTTTTCATCAGATAATTCACCAATCAGATTTTTCTTCCCCAATTACGGAAAAATGGTTTGCTAGCTCTGTTTAGTCTTGTGTAGATAGGTAATTTAATCCCAATCATATAAGAACAGATACTTCATAAGATGAAGGCATTAGTTTCATAAGTCACATGCTCAAATGAAAAGTAAGAGAGAAATTTGAAGACAAATAAAAAAAAGTAACCAACATACCGTGCATCAATTTGAGAAAAACCTTGTAAAAAAAATGTAGAAGAAAATTATCCACAATTTCTGCATCTTTGAATTATGAGATCATCACCCCCAAATTCATACATGCAAAAGAGATTATTTTGAGCGCAAATGATGTTTCTAATACTCAAATTGAAGTGGATGGTTGACAAACATGGAGGACGCTAAGGCAATTATGAGAAAGACTAGAGGGGGCCAAGACAATTGAGACTACATGAAACTCAAGCACGCGAATTACAAATTGACAGAAAGCACAATACAAATTAAGAATAGTGATAAGTTTAAGATTCCAGCTATAAGGGGAATCCAAGTGGCAATTGAAAAAAAAAAAGAGCATTAGAAACAATTGTTAGGACTTTGCTACCACAATCGACTTTCTATGAAGTGAAGCCATTTTTCATGGATTGGACTAAACTAAGTCCATCCGGTCTACCAATTTCAACGAGTTTTTGTTTACCCCTACATTTTACAATGGTAACGTAGAATCACTCATGTTCTTTTTTATCTTTACACAGAAAGAAATACAACTTGAACCTTTTGAAATTAATATCCCATGTTTATGCTAATAGAAACATTCTTTAAACACTTGTGATCAAAACTTGCAAATTATAAGCCAGACCAAAAGATCAAAAAGGTCCAAAAGACTACCTTCTACCTTTCTCAGAACCTCCATTACAAATGACAAGCAATCATTTGAGAGAGAGAAATTTCTCATTCCATTAGAACACATACCCAATATAATGTCAATAGAAGTGATATAACTAGTATCAAAGTCAAAGATGTAATGTTCCAAATTTGGATCAAGGTATGGGTCTTTAAATTAGGGGATCAGGTTTGAGACGGGATGTCTTAGAAAGAATTTCTTCCTTCTGTCTATGGTAACAGACTTAGAGAGAATCTGCAATCTCCTCTAAGTCCATCCGGTCTACCAATTTCAACGAGTTTTTGTTTACCCCTACATTTTACAATGGTAACGTAGAATCACTCATGTTCTTTTTTATCTTTACACAGAAAGAAATACAACTTGAACCTTTTGAAATTAATATCCCATGTTTATGCTAATAGAAACATTCTTTAAACACTTGTGATCAAAACTTGCAAATTATAAGCCAGACCAAAAGATCAAAAAGGTCCAAAAGACTACCTTCTACCTTTCTCAGAACCTCCATTACAAATGACAAGCAATCATTTGAGAGAGAGAAATTTCTCATTCCATTAGAACACATACCCAATATAATGTCAATAGAAGTGATATAACTAGTATCAAAGTCAAAGATGTAATGTTCCAAATTTGGATCAAGGTATGGGTCTTTAAATTAGGGGATCAGGTTTGAGACGGGATGTCTTAGAAAGAATTTCTTCCTTCTGTCTATGGTAACAGACTTAGAGAGAATCTGCAATCTCCTAGAGCTCGTTAAGAGAAAACTCTATAATATCTGAGTTTTAGGAACTCAAAACCTTTTCGTAAATTCTGCTTACAATTTTTCTGATATCACAGCCTTTTAAACAACTAATGAAAAAACTATCCATCCACTACCCACTTATAACTACCTATTATAATAAATAACTTGCTTAACCACCCCACTAATACCTGCTAACAAAGAAACTGATAATAACATGATAAAAAGTGAATAACTAAATAAAAGCATCCTAAATACAACAGTATAACTACCCTAAGTACAAAAGCTCCAGTGACAGAATTGCTTCATAATATCTCAAGCACTAAAAACAAGAAGGATCTAAAATTCTTCTATGTTCTGATATTGGACAGTATTTCACAAATTTGTTCTGTGAACAAAATTTTGAAATCAAGTCCCTGACAAAACACCAAGAAAACCATTTTTTGCCTTCAATTTTTTTTTTTTTTTTTTTTAGAAGTTTAAGTTGAACTACCAGGCGTTTTTAATACAGACTGTTTGATCCATTAACGAATAAAAATAGCCACTAGTTAAAACTAAGTCAGGTATATTCCATATTCAAGAGAACTCGTGAAAATGCACAAGCTACTCTCAAGCAAGTTCGATCTCGCAAAAAAGCATGTGTACACAAACAACTTCTGCTCTGAGCCATTCCTAGAAAACTAAAAATAATACTCACATCTTCAAGGAAATATATTCATTTACTTCTTCCATCACTTCAACCAGTTAAGCCCCTCAATTTTTTCCTCCTCTTCATTCATTTCCATCAAATAAGTACCTTTATTCATTTCCAGCTGCTACACTGGTCAATGGAACTTGGGATTAGAACACTCAAGCATATTGTGACATTCAACATGAAAAGGCATTTTTTATGCAATTTACCTATTTTATGGACACAGATAGTAGCACTAATGGATAATCACGAAAACATACTGTAAGCAGTTTAGGAATGGAGGTACTGTGACCTTAGACCTGAGTGAGCCTATACCGTAGGTCCACTTCTATTATAGTGATCGACAATATTACCTGTAAATCCATAACCCATAATATCGATTCCTCATTATCTAATACAAGTTATGACCTCTTGCACATATTTAGTAAATTTGTAGATAAAGAAGTTACATTTGAGGTAAGCAACGAATAGAAATTAAAAATCCTGCGCAAAGTGTTAATTGAACCAATATACACTACGATAAACTAGCATTCCCAAACTCAAATCAGCTAATCAAACACCACACCATTGTTCCGCAAAATTTAAAAATAATAATAATAACAAGAAATCAGAATACCTAACAAAGCTAATGTGTACTCCAAGGCTGCGATGAACGGCGGAGCAATCGATGCAGAGAAAGATCCCATAAGTTACAGAAGCCCAAGTCGGATTTTTTGCATTACAATCAAAGCACATCTAAAAACACCCAAAAAAAATAAAAAAGTGAAAAACTACAGAAATTTAAACAAAACCCATAGTTCAAAATTCGAGATCCAATAACAAAATAGCCAGATCCGAAAAAGATCTATATGGAAAAAGAAAGAAGAAAACCCTAAAGACGAAAAAGCACAAACGAACCTTGTTATCAGATTTCGTCTTTAGCTTTCTGAACACAGCGTTTTTGTCGGTGAAGTTCTCGGACGCCATTGATTCTGGTCTGATAAAGTCACAAAGAGAAAGATATCCGAAGAGGTGAGGGTAATTCGCTCCAGCACCTCCTCAGGAAGACAAAGAGAATCGGAAAAAGAAAGAGAGAAAGGTGCAGACGTTATGGTAGCAGATGCGAAATGAAAACTGCAAATGGAGTTGCGATTTTAGCTTTTGCGCAAGTTTTTTATTTTTTATTTATTTATTATTGTTGCGTTAATTAGGTTTCAAATTGAAAATTTTAAATATGGAAAGGAAATGTTGAATTTCCGGAAAAGCCTATTTGGTCATTTGTTGCTATCTAAGGTGTCATAAAATGTACTTCAAATTGCGAATTGCTTACCCACCGTCAGTTTGAATGCGCTGTGCGGAGACGTTAAAGCTCAACCAAACGAAGCAGAAACTTGCACTTTCCGTCAATTTTAATTTACCATTCATCCTTTGTTTTTTATAAATAACAAGGACAGTTTCTTTCTGTTATAATAAAAATAAGATTTTATGTACGCATTCTTTGGTCCAATTCTTCCTTTTAGATTGAGGAGGAAATTGTAATTCATGCAAACAATAAGTAAATAACTAATAGTAAATATTTCACAATGCATCTATTAGAAAGCTTGTAATTATTAAAACATAATTTCTTTAGAAATTATACTTGTTTAGAAATTACTTAGTAAAGTAGGGTTGTACAATCCTATTATGGTTCGCTTCTTGATAAGAATCGGAACTAGAGCCATAGTTTTGTTTTTCTCAAAATTGAAATTTGAACTAGAATCAAAATGATTTAGGAATCAGAATCATAATTGAACTGTTCAATCTAGTTTGGTTCTTTAATTTTTTGGTTCTTGGATTTTTATTTCTTCATTCATTTCTAGCCAATCAAAATGGTTTCTTTTTTTTTTTTTTTATTGGATGAATTGGCTTTTTGATCTTGGTGAATTGTAAGAACAAGAAGATTCTTCTTACCAATTTTATCAATTATTTGATATTTTGGTTCTAGTTTCAATTCTGATTCCAATTTCAGTGTTAAAAATTAAAAATTATTATAAATCATCTATAGGATAATTATAATAATAGTATAAAATTACAATACAATATTGAATCTTGATTAATTTGACACTCCTTCCGACTCAAAAAGATAGTCCACCTTCTATAAAAGACAATTTTATTCATATAATTTTCTTATTAGAGGTGCCCATTTCCCGATTTTTTGAACCAGAACTGTCGGTTCAAAACCGGTGGGAACCGAAACTGGTGGGAACCGGAACCGAAACTGTAGGAACCGGAACTGGTGGAAACCGAAACCGAAACCGTAAGGAATCAGAACTGAAACTGGGAATTTGATGTCTGATTCCGGTTCTAACTTTTGAGGGAGCGTAAACCGGCGGTTCCAAGAACCGACCGAAACCAGCTAGAACCAACGGTTTTTCCAATCGGTTAGAACCGACGATTCAGACGGTTCAAACCGGCGGTTCCACCCGATTTCAATAATTTTTTATTTTTTCAAATATTTTTGTGAAATTCGCAAATTTACCCTCCTGAGAACTATATAACAGCTAGTTTTAAGGTATTTGTAGACAATTGAATTTTTGGTTTTACTATAAATACTCCTTTTCATTTAAAAAAATAAATTATGTTCAAGCCTTTTTCTAAAAAAAAAAAAAAATTAAGTTCAAGCCCTTTTTCTAAGTTAAGCATTTTTTTATTATTTTTTCTTTAAGTTTTTTCTAAAAATATAAATATTTAAATTTTAATTTTCAACAAAAAAAATGTTCCCTAACTTTTGATTTTATAATGCTGAAAAATCAATCGGAAAACCGACCGAAACTGTTAACTTGGAACCGTTAAGAAACCGGAGTTGGAATTATAACCGTTTAGTTCCAAACTATAACTGGAACTGTCAATTTTCGGTTCGATTCCAGAACAAAAACTGGCGATTCTGGAACCGTGGCCACCCCTATTTTCTATTATGTCCATCTTATAACACATGAGTAATTATTATATTGGAGTAATAACTAAGAAGTAATAAGTGTTATTGAAAATAAGTTAAAATTTAATAAAAGTATAATAGACAATTTAAGGATTAACTATAATGTAAAAAAGAAAAGTGGACTATATTTTAGGACAAACCAAAAAGGAAAGATGGATTAGGGACAGAGAGAATAATTATTAATAATTTTATTTTAAATAATAAAATTAAAATCTTACACTAGAGTGATATAGCTTTAATGTAAGTTAAATTAAGCTCAAAGACAAAAACTACATGGTTTTGATTTTTAAGGCTTAATTATTAATTATAATTACTAGTGACTATATTATTATTAAAAAGGCAATAATTACTAGTGACTATATTGTTATTAGAAAGGCAATAATTATAATATTATTAAAATTATTAGATATAATAATATTAGATATAATTAGAAACTTTGTAATTATAAATAATAATGATGTTAAAATATTAATTATAATTAGAATAGTTGTAATTAGAATTAAAGACGATAAGAATACAAATTATGGTTAGACGAAGCTATAATTACTAATGAATTTATATGATTAATTGATTATAATTTTATTCATTACTTCAAGAAGCAAATTAGATAGTAAGAAATTGCAATAAATTTTTCTATTCATTACTTTATATTCATATATATGTAAATTTTAGTTATTTATTTATAATTTTTATAATTTGATGAATTTCTCTCCTCGTATAATATGTATTATAGTACTCCCCCCTCATCTCCACTCACACCATTGATTTAAGTAATTGAGTTTTGAGAAGTTTCACTAAAATTAGTAGAAACATATGAGTAATTTTATTATTGTTATTTTACTTATTCATTATTATTATTTACTATTAATTATCATCATCATCATTTGGCAAGTAGAATCCTCTTAACTTATTATTATATATATATAATATATTATGAGAGAAGAGAGAGTGACGAAGACACCACCCGAGGATGAGAGAGAAGACCGAGAGACGAAGAGCAGAGAAGAGAGACGAACGCGATAGAGAGGAGAGACAGAGCAAATGGGAAATACAACCTACTATCCTATAGTTAAAATAATATTTTTATTATTTGAATTTTATTGTTATTTATATCAAATAATTGTATTTTAAAAATTAATATTCATTTAGAATATAATCTATATCTATATTTCAATTTTAAATTTTTATTTTTTTTATTTGATCATTTAAAATACTTTTTATGCTTAAAAATTATTATTTATTTAAAATAATTAACCATAATTTATATTTGAATATTTATTTTTTTTAGTTTTAGATTGAATTGTTTAATATTTTGTGTCCTTTATTTAGAACAATTATCTACTTTTACATCTATATATCTTTATTTATAGATGAAATTTTTTTATATGTCCTTCAAATTTATGTATCTTTATTTACAAGTAATGCTTTTTGTTTAGTGCTTTATATTGTATGTATTTATTTACTGTATTTTAGTTTATATGTATATATATCTTTTACAATTTTTTTATTTGCTTCTTTTTATTTGAAGTTTTAGATTTATTTTTTTATAGATATTTATTTTTATATGTGCAAAAAAAGTAACATATAACAATTATACCAATAACAAAGTAATAAAGCAACCGCGTGCAATGCACGAGTCTTCGCCTAGTTATAAATGAACTAGTTGTAGTTATACACGTTGTGGAACCCTCCCCAAAATATACAGAACATATGATGCATGTACTAAATGGTAGAATGGCACGTGAATTATGAGTTGCCACCTTGTTTAATATTTTAGGGTTAAACTTAGGAAAACCCTAAGTGACTCCAAATTTTAATTTAAACCTAAATTACTTAAGTTAATTAACCCAATGTCTAAGGCATGGTTCTTCGAACCCGAGGTGGATCCCGAGACCTATGTCATTGCTGATGAAACTAACCCAAATTAATGAATGCTTTGCGGTAGATGAAGTAAATTGGACCAATGAAAATGTTTATGTGATTTCGACTTGCCGCCCGGGGTTAAATCCCGAACGTGCCTACGTACTTCCTGGTTTTTGAATAGAGAAGATCAAAGTCAACGTAGTTTGATTGGCCTTTTAAAAGGGCTTTTGAATGGGTATGCTTAATGCCATGAATGTTGTATGCTTCGGCATTTGTTAGCATTTGCCTGAAAAAATCGATTGATTTGATTTAGGCATTTATTGCCAAAAGGAAGTGTTTGATTGGGCTTATTGCTCTGCCAAAAAAAGAAGTGTTTGATTGGGGGCTAATTGTGCCAAAATTGATTGTTTTAAGGCCTTTTAAAGCCAAAATATTGATTTAGGCAATTTATTGCCAAAAAAAATGTTGATTGGGCGATTGTCGCCAAAAATTGATTGATTTGCAGGCAACTTATTGCCAAAAAGTGATTTTGTATATTAGCCGAAATACTGATTTAAAGCGAATTTGTCGCTAAAAGAAGATTAATCTCACTTATAGGCAATTTGTTACCAAAAGTGATTGATGACTTGGCAATGTAGGCAATTTGCCAAGAAAAAACGTGTTTTAATTTAAGGCTTTTAGCCACAATTATGGATTAATTGACTAAGCCCGGACTGTTATTTGAAATAAAGGCAATTATTTACCATAGTTATTAATTAAACTAGGCACTTTAGCCAAATATTGGTCGGAATTTAGGCTTTTAATACCCGATTATTATTAACCGGGCATTTAGTCTAAATTTATTTAATTGAGGCAATTTATTTTGCCTAATTAATGACGGTGATACATTTATGCAGTTGTAGAATTAGGAGTAGAAGAGAAAGCATGCCATGAAGTGCTTAAAATTAATTAGCAGAGTTTAGTTTATGTACCTGATTTAATCGACACCACTTCTTAACTCCAGGTTAAGCTCCTCGTTAACGGGAATATAATTAATTCAAATTTATGTGGGACCACTTAACAAAAGCAAGAAAAAAGCATAAAGCTAAACTGAAAATGCAGGAAGAAAAGCAGTAAAGAATCGCAAGGAGCGTAGGCGGGAGAAGGAGTGTCCGTCAACACAGACTGAGTGCCTTTGAAATGATGCCGGCGGCCCATTTTTATAGGCAAAATGGACTGTTTTCGGCGGGCCTGGGCGCCGGGGGGCCGGCCGGGTTTTGCTAATTTTTCGTTCTAGAGGCTTTTTCGGGAGTTTCCCGACCTCCAAAAAAATATTCTGGAAACCAATTCCCATTTTTTGGGGATCTCGCAACGTCCCGAAACTTCCAAAATTTGGCCTCCGGTCCGGCCGGACTGTTTGCAGTCCGGGAAAATTGGCTTTTTGAGCTCAAAAA